AGGCCGCCCGGCACCGCCCCGCACCGACAGCCCAGGACCGCCCCACACCGGCCGCCAAGGACCGCCCCGCCCGGCTCGGAACCGCACCGCCCCGCCCGCCTGGGACCGCACCGCACGGCCCGGAACCGGGACTGCCGCGACCGCCCCGCCCCGCCCGGCCCGGCACCGCCCCGCTCCAGCCCCGCTCCAGCACGGCACCGCCCCGCTCCAGACCCGCTCCAGCACGGCCCCGCCCGGAGCCGCCCCGCACCGACCGGCACCGCCCCGCTACTCCCGGGCACGCACGACCCGCCCCGCCCGCCCCGCCCGCCCCGCCCCGGCCCGGCCGCCGCCCGGCCCCGCCCCCGCTGCGCCCCGGCCGTGCCGCCTCGCCATTGGTCGCTGCGCGCGGGGCGGCGCTGCCCATTGGCACGTCGGGCGCGCGGCGGCGGCGGCGATTGGCGGGGCGCGCCGTGGGCGGGGCCGCCGTGCCCGCCCCGCCGCAGCGCGGCCCGTTGCGGACGCGGCCGGGCGGGAGCGCGGGCCCTGCGCGCCCAGCGGGGCGGACATGGCGGGCAGCGGCGCGGCGGCCGCGGCGCCCAGGGACGAGCCCCCGGAGGAGCCCGAGGGCGGCGGGCGGCGCTGGGGCGCGCAGCACGCCGGGGCCCGCGAGCTGGCCGAGCTCTACTCGCCAGGTGAGGCGGCGCGGCCGCGCGGGAGCGCGGGCGGGGCCCTCGGGCCGGGCGCTCGGGGTGGCTCCTTCGGGCCCGGCTCTCCCCGGGGCCCCGCTCCCCCCGAGACACCGCGGTCCGTTCCGACGCGGCCCCGGGAGCCCTGAGGGCGGGGATGGGCCGGGCCCTGCCGGGCGGGTCCCCGGGGCTGCCGCCCCCGGCCCGGCCCGGGCAGCGCGGGGCTCCCGGCGGGGCTGGGACCGGGCCGGGTGTGCGGCCCCGAGCGTTTGGAACCAGAAACGGCTCAGAACGGGGCGGGGGGAGGTGTTCTTTTTAAAAACTGGCAATCAAAAAGCGAGGCTTTCCTTCTAAAAGCGGCTCTGGTCGCTGCACGAGGTAACGACAGAAGCTTTGGCTGAAGAACGTTTATTCAGGGAGCTGCTCTGAGGTCTCCAGGCCTGGCCTCTCAGAAAGGGGTGGAGGGATTCCTGTTCTAGTCTTCCTGGAGCATGGTGCACATCAAACAGGCTTCAATTTGCCGTTCGAGTGCTTACTGGATGACTATTCGATCATGCTGTGGAAATAGCTGCAAACTCCTTATAATTAGGCGTAGTTTGTGTTTAGCTCACAGTGTGAGCAGTGCTGGGTGTTCCTGCTCTTCCCAGTGAATGCATTTGCAGGTGAGGAATTAGGAAAGGGAAGACCCGTTTTCAGCTCTTTGTGGTTTCCAGCAGGTCAGCTGAGCTCAGCTCACACAAGGCAATTCCTGCACAAGTAGGTTCTTGCTCACACAGGGCCAAGGGATGATAAGGAAACCAAGGCCTTTGTTGGTTTGTCCGGCAAGTTGTTTGGGGCAAGTCTTCAGCTGGTTTTGGTCGCCTCCCGTTTGCCTTGAGAAGGTGCTGTGTGACATCTGGACACACAGTTGTGGTCCAGCTGGGTCTGGTTCCTGTTTTACACAAAAGCAATCCCTGACTTTGGCTCATGAGGAAAAGGTTTTCCTCCCCAAACAACTCACTGCCCTTGTCGTTGGCTGTAGAGGGAGGTTCCTGGGCAGTCTGTGAAGCAGCACATGTGCAGTGATACTGTGTCAGAAAGCTGTGAGGGTGTGTTGGATACACAAATTTTTTCTGGCATTACATAAATAATTTGCATAAACAATGTCAGAATATGTATTATGGAGGAAGCACACGATGTCCAGCTTCTGAATTCATTAGAGCAGGGATTACATTTGATTGTGCAGAATGAGTATGACTGGAATATCTCCCTGATTTCTTTAAGCACACTCTTTGTGGCTTTGTCACCTCATTCCTTCAGGCAGGACACACTTCTAGATTTGAGTGCCCTTTAAACACAAGTAATTGGTGCTGACTCAGCTCCTTGAGTGATTTGCCTTCCCAGTGCAGAGCTGAGGCTGCGTTTTTGGACTCAGGTGTCTCCACAGCCATGCTGGGATCCCAATGTTCAGAGTACAGAAGTGTTTGCACACACTGAGCTCAGGGGACTTGCCATGGAGAAGCCTCATTTCCCGCAGCCAGCTAATTGTACCCACTTAGCTCCTCTAATCAGGGTGTGGTTTTCTTATGCAGGAAGTGAGTGTTAATTAACTCTTACTTTCATTACTCCAGGGATCTCTTTATAGAATCGCCCACATTGTCACCTGATGCTACTGTCAGATATGGCTGTTCCTGTGTCTTAATTTAATTTCACGATTCTCTCCTCTGCTACTGCAGAGGCTGTTAATTTGTATACTCGGGGTCTTTCTAGAGCAAAACTGGCCTGTAAAAGTCTTTGTTCACCCTTTCAAATATTGCTTTGTAGGCACATTGGAGGTAATTCTGATCCTCCTTTTATGTTCCTACTTCCCTGTTTGTTGTATGGTACACTTGAGAGGGAGGACTTGATTTAGCATTTAGGAGGAGAAATTTGATCAGGCTGTAGGTCAGGAGGGAGGAGGAGTAGGACAGAAGCTCTTGTCCTGAACACATGCTAGGCCCGAGCGTGCCTGGGAGAGCACATGCACCTCCCTGGAGTCCTCACTTAGTGTTCCTTGGGTGTGGCTTTGTGGGGAAGGGGCTGCTCTGGGGAGCCCTGGGCAGGAGGAGGCTGTGCTGGCTGACCCTGAGCGTGTCAAGAGCTGACTGCAGCCCGGGGCCCTTCTGGCCACGGTGGCAGCTCAGATCTCCTGCCTGGCCTTGGGCATTAAAGGTCTGTTCCTGATTCCTTAATCCACATGGGCCTCACCCTGAGCGTCCCCTGCTCTTGGCCTCGGAGCCTCGTGAGGATCCTGCAGTGATGAACAGGCAGCAGCTCTCTGCTGCTAATCTGATATTCAAAGTGTTACTGTACTCTCATCTGCCTGTTCCCTTTCTATATTCATTAATGATTTTTTTATGGAGGTACAAAGTAGTACAGCAAGGTGCAGGAGAGAATTCGTGCCAGTTCTTTCTCTTTGCTTATTCTGTCCTTTGTCATCTCAGAGTGGCTGAGAGTTCCCTCCCTTTGCCTGGGAGCAGGAAGGCAAAAACAAGGCAGCAGTTCAGTGAGAAGCTTCAGAGGGTACACTTGCAACGCTAGACAAGTCATTCCAGGGCCACCAAAATACAGGATGGTGCTTTTTCCTGTTAGTGCAACAGCTTTATTTAAAATCTCAGAGCTTGTAAATATTACAGATCACGAGGAGATTTAAATACGTCTGAGGCCAGAAATTTGTTCCCAGATTCAGCCATTCCAGCAACACTGAATATTGGATGAAATGCAAATTGAGAAAAGGAGGAACATTATGCCAGCAATCTCAGGGAGAAGGAAACTAGGACAATGTGAGATGATGTCTGATTTGTCCCTGTTATTTGGGCAAGGGCAGAGGGAAGGGGTTAGTGGCGGCTCAGGGAAGAGGGATGTCATTTAACAAAATGAGTGCACCTCCCATGGATAAATAAGTTTCTCTTTCAGTTCCCTGTCAGACAAATGGAGCGAGTCATCCAGGTAGTAGAATGGTCTGTCTGTATTATTTCAGACTCCAAAATGTCCTCTCAGATAAAAGTAAAACGTGCTTTTTTCCTTTTTTTTTTTTTTTCCCAACAGGAAAGAGGCTACAAGAATGGATCTCTGTCATCTTATGCTTCTCTCTGATCTGTTTCAATTTTTACAATCTCCTCTTTTATTTGCGACTGGAACACACGCCCTCGGTTATCGTTGGGATATGTAAGTAGGAAATGTTCACTGTCCCAAAGAAGGCAAGACTGTTGGAATATGGGAAGCAAGTGTGGTGATCCTTTAGGTTTGACTTGCTGTTGGAAAGGGTGAGGGACAATTATTGTGCGTGCAAGTGCAGAGCCTCTGAAACTGAGACCATCTGCAAAGTTTGTTACTGCTTTGTGTTTCATGTCAGTGGCTTCTCGGTATCTTAAAGGGGAAGTTTTTGACATAGCTGTGTAAGTTTGGTGGTTTTGGGTAGTCATTGCAAGTGTAAGGACTATTGAGAAGGAAAAGAGCTGTGAAGGTGGTCAGAGATGGAAACAAAATACACTGGTTGACAAAAACATTTACAAGAACTTTTCAGAAAGCAAAAGCTTGAGAAATGTTATAAAAGGTGGCTTTGAATTGGCTTGATTTCGAGGGACTGCAAAGTGACCATGAGAATTTTGGAGAACTGTGCTTTCATGTCAGGATGTGACATTTGGCCTTTGTCCTCAATGATGACTTTTTTCCAGCAATACAAGACAAGTTGCCATTTTCTTGTGGTAATAAATGTGACTGTTGGTCTCTTATTACTTCATTGGGTGGGAAGCGAAGGCAGGCAAGCCCAGCAGCTCAGTCTCACCTCTGTGCCTTGGGCTGTAAAGGCGTTTACATTGCAGGATCTCGGTGGGGCAGAGCTGCAGTGGGAGCTGATGATTCCCCCTTTTCCATGGAGGAGACGAAGAACCAGGGAAGGCTCTAGTTTGCTGCTGTACAGCTTTACTGATAGAATCAGGAATTGCATGGAATTAGCTACAGGAAAAAACTGACTCAGAATGAGCAGGGTGTGAAAAGGGACCCACAACATTCGTTACATCAGTCAAAGCCTAACCCTGGGTACAACTTGAATATTCCTTAACACACAGAGCAGAAAGGATCAGTGTTTACACGAGTTTTGTGGCACAGGATGGTGTGCAGAAGCAGTTGCACACAGACTTTGTTGAGAAGAGGCAGAGAGGGCAGCGGAGCAGGCGGGCACTCACACTCGGTCTGTGGGCACTGCCTGGGCACTGCTGGTCCCTGGGTGGGAGGGGATGTGGGAAAAGGAAAGAGGTTTCAGTTTAGAAATCTGAAGGGTCATCTATGCAATGCATACCTTTCATAGCTCTCTGGAAAACTTCTGCTATGGGAAGAGGGAGGGAATAGTATCCAAGCATTTCACCAGTGTCCTCCCATACTTGCAAAGAATACTGAATACAATAGTAACTCCTGTGTTGGGTGTGTATAAACATTTACATGCTTTTGCATTAATTGCCTGGTTAGCTGAAAGGAGAACACACGGTGTCATTCCTTAGGGCACTGTCTGAGGTAGTACAGCTGTTCATTCCTGTGCTTTAGAATAAAACACATTTTTGTATAAACTGTGTGAGGTGTATGTTTTAGAAGAGAATGCTGCTTGTTTATAGTCACTGCTGTATATTGCTAATTAATTAAACAAACAAACAAACAACCCCCCACCCAAAACACAGCAGCAGGTTCAAGCAGTGGTATATGATAGAAGCTATGAATTTCTCCCAGAGCTGGGAAGTGGCAATTCCTGATATCTGTGTAAAGGGGGCTGGGGGGAGCAGTGTCCTCCCACTGTGAATCACACCAGCCCTCTTGGCCTCATTCAGTCTTGCCTGCTCTCAGCTGATGAGGTGGAGGTGTTGGGAGGAATGAAGAAGAACATGGCCTGTGAACTGCTCCTTAGTGACAAGGGCAGATGCAGACAAGAGAATCACCAGTAATGGTTAACCTGTAGTGCGATCTATTTGTTGCTGGCTTTCATCTCAGAGTTAATGCTGATAAAAGCTTGAGTTCTCTGATATCCTGGTTACCAGTTTAACTGATAAAGCAGCCAATTCAGTGATAGTATTATTTAAGTAGTAGTGAATGATTAAAGTATCGGAATCTGGATTCTGTGTAAATAAAATGGTGTGGAAATAACTGATAGTGTGTACAAAAATGAGTGCAATAAAATAATAAGTGCTGCAGGCTATCTTGTTTTGTTGTCTTCAGTACATTATTTCTTCAGGTGAAGTGTGAATTATGTCTGTAATTCACAGATTTTATTAGTTTGGGGGTTTTATATTAGTTTTTATTACTTTTTGTGAAGCTCATCTCCATGAAAGTCCTGATTCCTAAATCCTGCGGGTGTTACAGCGGGTATGATTGGGAACACTGAGTCACAGGCAGCTGAGGTGTGTTCCAGTGAGGGCCCTCCTCAAGCACAGTTTGGAATATTGACCTTTGAGATGAGGTCACAAAATAAACATTCTGCTAATAAAGATGTAGCTCTGGATCGAGTTCACACCAGACCTTTGGAAACCTGAAAGGCATCAGTGATCCACTGGGATGGATCTGCTCTGCTGCACAGACCTGTCCATTGAATGCATTGTTGGCACCCCCTCTTATGCAAATACATATCTTCTTTTAAGAAATGGAGTAGTTTGAACATTCTGCATCATTCCACTTTGCCTGTAATTAAATCTTTTTTTGTACTTTTAAAGGAACACTTAATTGTGGCATGAGTAATTCTGTGAATACTGTAATCCAGAGATTCTTGGGACAAAAAAGGTCTGATCCTGCTCTGGCTGGCAGGAAGCAGGTCCTTCCCTATGTGCTGTGGGAGGCAGGTCTGTGCTGCTGTGCTGAGTCACCCACGGCATCACTGAGGAGAGACCTTCATGGCCTTGGTTAGAATGGCTCCTGCACTGGGGGGTTTCCTGCTGACTAAGGATGATCTTGCTGGAAAGGAAGAGGCATGTGAGTCTCTTGTCTTTCAGTCTGGTTTAGCAGAGATGAGACAACTTCCTTCCCTTCCTCATTGTCAGGAAAGAAAAAAAAAGGAGTGGGCAGAGGATGGATTTCTTTTGTTGCTTCTGTTAAATCCAGTCATGCCCTATTCTGAATATCCTCAGCTGCTGAGCAGCCATGGAAATGTTCCTCTTTCTGCAAGCTGCCAGTCATGCAGATTTGAATTTGGTATTTTATTGGCATGCACACACATGCACCCAGTAAACTGTGGGCAGCCCTGGCTGGGGGTGGGGTGTGATGGAGGTTCAACACCCCCATCTTTTCCCACTGCAGCAGGACACCGTCCCAGCAGTGCCACAGAACCAGAGCAGCCTCGACCACTCTAATAGATGTTTGGTAGTGCCAGGGACAAGGCTGGCAAAGGTGTTATTGTTTGATAAGCAGAAAAGCCTCAGCAAAACACATAAAATCAGGTTTGAAAGCCGTTATACCTTCAGGTGAGTTTGTGGTGTCCAGCTTATTTTTCAATAGTTCATATGTTATGTAGTTCATATTCATATGTAGTTCATATATTAATAGCATCTAGATAAAAAGTTTGGCAAGTTAAAACATGGATCCTGGTTTTCATTTCCTCTCCCTCTTGCCTTTGTATAGGGTTTTAAACCCTCTTTTCCAAGTTGGTTGACTTGTTTCAGACATTTGGCTTTTATGTGCAGCCACATTTGCTCGTAACAGAGACTGTGCATTGCAGTCTTAGAAAAAAGAAAGTTAACTTTGTGTTGTAACCTGTTTATATTTGTAAGAACTGCCTCACATAGGACAGATATCTTTAGGAACATCTTGTGCCATGACACAAGGTACAATTAATTGCTGCTGACTTGAGAGCTGGGCACCGCATTTTTTTTAACTGATTTGAGGTCCACGTTCCTGCAGATGTTGTGGGTTAGGCAGAGAGAGCACACGGGAGGAAATCACTTAGTGAGCTTTCAAAATAGAAACTGGATCTCATAAAGGCCCAGCAGCTCTTTGTTCCAAGCTCAAGCAGCTCTGCAGGGCTGCACTCCATCAGCTGCATTGCAGAGCCAAAGGATGAGTGTGTAACACACGAGAGCCCTGGCACAGGTTGGAGTAAAACCACTCCAGACACATCAGTGCTGAATGAAGGTCATGGTGGGCATGTGGGGTGGGTGTCCCCATCCTCTGCCTCACAGCTGTAACAATGTTGCTTCGCTTTGGAGTTACTTTGTGCACTACAGTGAGTTTCCACTTGAAATTTTGTTTTAAAAGGTCCTTGAAATTACACTAGAAGCCTCAGGTAGCAACAGAAAAGGATCTTTTGCAAGTCTTTGTCACCTGCTGTCCTACCCACCTGAAGTACCCATCAGTTACTTGGTAGCTGTAGGTAACTTTGTGTTTCCACCCTAAACTGTATCATCTCTTGCAGGTGGAAACTCCACAAGTGGTTAAATAGGCAAAACTTGGATTCTGTGTTGCACTGTGCACAAATGAGCGTGCATTGCATTACAATGTTTGTCTCCTGTGGATCCTTTGGGCACTACTGGGGAGTTCTCTTGGGAGCCCCGGTCCAGCCCCTGTAAGGAGGAGAAAGAGGAGGCTGTTGATCATGAAAGTGGAGTTATGTGGTACAATTGCTGGTTTGCACTCGGGCAGGTGATGTTGGCACCAGTTATCTGTTCTTCATGTCACTTGGATTAAGGGATGGACTTCCTGGCGTGCTGGCAGCTGTCAGGCAGGGCAGAGGGAGAGCTGAGCCCTTCTCCCCCTTGAGGCTCCTGCCCTGGTACTGGAGGGACACTGGTGGCACGGCCCCTTCTCTGTCCCCACTGTGTGCCCAGGGGACGTGCTGTCGCTCTCTCTGGCAGCAGCAGGGACAAAGACAGCTCTGTGTGCCTGCCCAGTTGTCAGAGGCTCTCTCCAAGTTACAAGGGACTTTGGCTGAGGATTTAAGAGCTGTAGGTCTTGGTGGTCCTGATCCACTCAGAAAACTGCCTCTTGCACCTCAAACACACACACATGTGTTGGGTGTTGCCCTGCTGGAGTGCCTGGGCACAGGGCAGACCCTGAACAGAGCAGTGTGATGGTGGGTTACATCCCATGCCAGCCCAGTGTTCAGGTGCTGGGGCTCTGGGTGCCAACCTGCAGGCACAGAACTACCCAGTGCTCCCAGGGACAGAGCTCACCTTGCTTCATTCTGGGAGTGTTTTAAAGGGATGAAACTGGAGGATTAGTTGATTAATCATACTAATGAAAGTGTTGGATTTTTTTTTAGTGGGAGAAAATTTGCTCTTGATTTTCATTTAGTATCCATTGTTCTCTGTACCTTTAATCACCACCTTCTGGGATGACATAAATGCTTTTTCTAGTAATGCATTTGCAGGGAAAAGAAGTTCTCACAGTGGTACTTTTTATTTAAGAACCTGAGGCCTTGGTAAAATTGTCAGGACTTTGTCATTTAAATGTGCTTTACAAGCCCTCTGTCAGCTGGAGAAATAGCAGGAACAGCTTGCTTCGTGCAAACACACTAAGGTTAAAGACATGAGAATAAAATTTGGCTGTTCCTATCATTAAGTTTATCAGGCAGTGATTCTTAGCCAAGCTGTGCTTTGGTAGATGAGTATTTGCTTTAGGAGTCACTGCTGTTCAGCCTCAGGGGAGACTGTGCCCTAATTCCTTGGGGATCTCCTTTCCCTGGTAGTGTCCAAGCTGGCTCAGCCCCGAGGCCAGGTCAGGTCTGCTGCAGTCAGGGCTGAGCTGTGAGGTGTGGGGTGTGCTGCTCTCAGGGGGCATTGCTGGGACACAAGGATTACACAGCTCCCAGAGCAGGGATTCAGCACAAGGAGAAGCTCAGGCTCCGTGAGAAACGTGCCAGTCCTGCCAAGGGAGCTCCTGTGACATAGCACACACTTTTCCTGCCTCTGGAGAGGACTTGTTTGAAACTGCAGCTATAATGGGATAGAACTACTCTATATAATAATAATAATAATAATAGTAATACATGTGCTATCTGAGCCCTTCTTGTATTTCACAGTTCAGCTGCATTCTCTGGTTACTGCACTGTGAGGTCCATTCTCACTGAATTCTTCTCACCTTTATTAGCCAAAATGATGAACTCTTCTTTGCTGCTTTCAAGCTGCTACACTTTGTGCTTGTTGGAATGTCCAGATTTTATTTTTTTAGCCTTGTAATTTGCTGTAGTATCAAGCCTCTGCCTTCTCTGTACTGAAAGCCACTACGTGGGGAAGGCAGATGACTAAGGCATTTTATTTTTATAAGCATGTAAGTGTTCACAGAGTTCAGAGCATTCTGAGTTGGAAGGGACCCACAAGGATCATCAAGTCCAACTCTTTAGTGAATGGCCCATACAGGGATCAAACCCACAGCCTTAGCTTTGTTAGCACCATGCTCGAACCAACTGAGCTAATGACAAACAACTGTCACTTCAGCATACTGATTTTTAGAAAACAAGATTTTTTTTCTGTGTAGAGTTAGCCACTCCCCTGACCCTTCAGTGCTGTAACATTCAGCTCATTCATACAATCACTGATTAAAAATTACTATACTTCTCAATGATGTTATACAACAGCATCAAGTTATTTAATAACACCTTATGCTGGTTTTTTTTTTCCTCTCCAGAGACTCTACCTGAATTTTTACAGTAAATATGAAACTTTATATGCTCTGTTGTAAGAACTCCAGGTTACAATTTGGTAATTATACCTGCACAAAGCCAGCCTTACTCTCAGCTCATAAAATTTCGGCAAAGTACATCTTTTTGTTGTAAACACGTGAAATAGCTTTGTCTCTTGAAGCCCTCCTAGTGCAGTGCCTGCTCTCGTGGGGCTCCTCCCGCTGGCCCGGGACCAGCCAGCCCACAGGAAGTGGTTTGTGCTCCCTGCAAGAGCAGCCCTTGGGTGAGGCTGCGAGTTGTTGTGTCTGAGTTTGACTCTTAAACGAGGAAGAGGTGGAGCGGGCCCTTTTCTGTGGCCCAAACCCCTACAGCTTCCCTGGTTTCTGAGCAGGACACAAGCGAGACAAAGCTGTCTTGTGTTAATGGTGTGTTTGGGGCAGTTGCTCTTCCAGTCCTGCAGCCAAGTGGTGACTGTGCTGAGTGCCAGGTCCTGCTCCAGCATGGCCCTGACCCAGAGGAGGTCCCACTTCCTCATGTCCCTGACCCAGAGGAGGCTCCTGTTCCATCATGGTCTCTGAGCCTGGGGACAGGACACACCCCAAGTGTTATGATGCTGGTCATGTATAACCTTAGTACAGTTTTAGCTCTTCTATTATTACTCATCCTGCACAAGTGCAGAAGAGTGAGCAAGCCCTTCTGCAGCACAGCTAGAATGAGATTGCTAGTAGTTAGGTTTTTTCCAATTGCTGAAGTATAATGCATTGCTCCAGGCACCCTCCATTCTTCCCTCTTAGGTTTCTACCAGCTGACATCAAAGCAATATGTGAAACATCTATTGAACCCTCAGTATTTTGCCTCAATTTCTGTTGCTGCTCCTGCAGGCGTTTCAGACTCTAATGGTGCAGCTGCTGGAGGCCATGAGGGCTAATGGGGACATTAGCTCAGCGAGAATGGTATTTTAGTTGTTGCAAAGAGAAGTGTTGTTTGGATATCTTCCCCTGAACCCAGGCTGCTTGCCCTTTCAGCTGCTGGGAGCAGATCTAAAAGCTATTGTGTCCCACCCGGTCTCACTGGAGCTTGCGTGTGTGGTCTGAAACAAAAGCAAATGTACACAATTTACTGCTTATAAAATAAGCTGTCTCCAGTACAATAAGGAGATACATAAAGAATGAAGTGTTTCCTGGTGTATTTAAGAGTTTGGGCCAACTGGATAATGGATTCAGCAGTGAGGGTTGATTTATGGTATGAAAAGAAAGCTTTCCGGGTAGCGGGTGCCACACTAATCGTGCATTTATTTCTTCTCCCTGTTGGAAAACGAAAGGTGAGAAGGACTGCAGAGGTGAGGGATCAGCTAAGGAAAAGGTACCCACATGGAGTGGTCCATCTGTTCTGTACAGGATGGGCTAAACACAAAATCCTGCTATATATTTAATGAAGAATGTTACTGTCCAAGTGGTCTATTGTTAACCTCTTTTTCTTACTTGCCTGACCTTATGTTTATTCAGACTGGGTAGATCTCCTATGAGTGCAAATATGTAAGTGAAAGGTAGATAAACAACTTGTAAAACAAGTATAAAATGTGACTAAGTCAGTAACAATGCTGTGTTTCTCTAACTGTCTCTCTCCTCATTGAAGTTGCAGGAGTTGTTACCGCTGACTTCTTATCAGGATTATTTCACTGGGGAGCAGATACCTGGGGATCTGTGGAGCTACCCATAGTTGGAAAGGTTTGAGATTGTTATTCTTAAGCTTGAAAAAGTTATGAAATACTTTCCTGAAGCACTTCCAGTGTTCCCAGCTGAATTGGGCAGTTACAGGCTCCGTCTTCAGTCCTGCCAGAGTAACCAGCTCCACACCCCAGAGCCCTCCGTGGAACAGCACTGGGCAGTGCTGGGGCAGGGCTGTGTTTGCACCTGGCCTGGGTGACACGTGCAAGGTGACATTGCTCCATTTTATCACCTCGTTCGAGGTTTGCACACAGTTTTGCAATACCAGTGTTTGCAGACCTTCCCGAGGTTCTGTGGGAACCACAAGTGGAGGAACTGTACAGTGCTTGGGCACTGTAGATCCTCAAAAAACAACGTCCATAGATGTGGAGAGTTGTCCCTGCAGCTGAACTCCTAAAAACTTGTGAAACATGAGGGTGCTCCAGTAAGAATCTTTGCAGCTCTCTGTTCTACTGCCCCTGTTGTAGATGTAGTAATATTAGAATGGTGATGACTGAAGATTTAATTAGAGATATATTATACACCTGCAGCTACAAATGCCACTTGCTTAGTGGAAGGTGCACTGGCTTCCATTGTAAGCAATCATCTGTTTTCTTAATTAAATTTCTAAGTAGTTACCATTAATTACTTCTCACAGTGCAATATTAGAAGGATCATTGTTTTTTTTTTTTTTTTTAAAAAAAGCATGTGGGCTATTCCTTGTAATTATTCAGAAATACATAAACTACCACAGCAGATTTTAGACTGCTGGTTTTGGTTTATTTTTGTTCACCTTCAATAGACTTAGTAGTCTTTGAATCCTGGCATCTCTGGACCATAGTTTACATTAAAAAAAAAAAAGCTGGAGACTTTGCACTAAATGACCCTGAGTTCAGGCTGCTCAGGACACCTTTGCACAGGCTGTATGTGATGGATGTGGTAAAAGCAAATCAGTAACTGGTTTGACTGTCACACACAGTAAAGCAATTGCTCTGTCTCCTCTAGGACTGTGTGTTCTGATGTGATTTCTGCTCTTAGAGGTGACTTTTGTAGTCTGTTTGACTTCCATTGCCTTATCCAGTCACTTAACTTGCATTTATTCTATTAGAGCTGGCACCTGTACCCCATACAAAAATGATAGGTTGAATTTTAATATTTTAGTGTTTTTTCCTTGGTTGATGCTGCTTATTAAGCAAATTATATTTGTGATTTTCACAAGCTTATTTTGCCTGTGAAATTAGGATGCTGATGCTTTGTTTTTGAGATCTAGAGACTACAGGTTCTAATTGAAAATTAAGAAGAATAAAACTGAAAACTGAAAACCTGGATTTGGGAGCTGAATTGCTTCTGAAATGTAAATCAAATAATCTGAAATGTTGTCATCACAAAAGTTTGATGCTGCTCACATGCTTTGTACTCTGGAATTCTCTTAATCTCAGTCATCACAGTAGAATGTATGAGAGGGGGTTTGGGGTTTGTTGGGGGGTTTCTTTGGTAATATTTTCTTTCCAAGACCAGTGTTGAGCTGTGGTGTCATTGTTTTTTCCAGGCTTTCATCCGACCCTTTAGGGAACATCACATTGACCCCACAGCCATTACCAGACATGATTTCATAGAGACCAATGGGGACAACTGCTTCATGACACTGGTCCCACTGGCCAACATGGCATACAAATTTGTTTCTTTTTCCCCAGGTAAGCTGTTACTTCTGACTTCTGTGGATTTAGCATTGTTGCTATTTAGATGAACGTTTGTCTGTGTGAAGGTAGGAGAAATCCATGACTGTGACATGACAAGGAAGAGCTGTTGGAAGCATGGTGCTCCTGGCAGGAGGGAGGGAAGCTTTTTTTCCTGCAGGTAGGGTGGCAGAAGGTGGCACAGAGGGGTTCTCTAGCTCAACAGAGGATAACTGGGGCTGAAGAGTTGTGCAACTAAGCATTAGAAGTTATGCTAAATACTCTTTTTATAAGGATCAAGCTGTGAGCATATAGGGAAACCTTTGTTCTAAAGTATATAACATATAACAACAAGGCTTCATCTCCGTGCAAAAGCACTTTATGTGCAAACTAGAAGTCAAGAACTAAAGGATTAAATTCATTTTATAGATGGTCAGCTCAGTTTGACTTCCTGTTTATGGTGCATTCACAGATATTGGCACTTCCCAGCCTGTCTTGTGACATTTGGGAATTGCTTATGGCTCACTGGCTCTTCTGCCAAAGCAGCTTCGTTGAGGCCTTTGTTAGCTCCTGTGGCACCAGCCCTAGTAGAAATTTGCCTTTTCAGAACTGGTGTTTAAAGATGCACATGTTGTTTTGCAGAGGCATTATATGAGACGTGTCCCTGGGAGTGTTACGTCTTCGCGCTCATCATCTTCATCACCATGACGAACCAGATCCACAAGTGGTCCCACACGTACTTTGGGCTCCCACGCTGGGTCATATTCCTGCAGGACTGGCACATTATCCTGCCCAGGAAGCACCACAGGATCCATCATGTGTCTCCACACGAGACCTACTTCTGCATCACCACTGGTACTGCCCTTGGGGTCGTGCTGCA